CACACACACACACACACACACACACACACACACACACACACACACGCACACACACACACACACACACGATGCCAACCTAGCCCACCCTACTGCACACACCTCATCACAACCCGGGGCGGTCCTGCACGTCAACCACGCACAAGCATGGCTATCGTCCCGTGCAGGCTGGGCTTGGGTTGCCTGTTCGCATAACCCAGTCTGCTTTGTGCATCTGCCTACTTCAACGAGCCAAAACTTGGGGCAACATGGTACCTCGTAGGCTTTCACATGTGGCGTCCCTGGCATGTGTTCACATGAGTCGTGCGCATTGTGCTGACAATGCACTGGATCCTGCAGGCGCGGGGTTGCCGCTTGCGTCTTTGACCTTGAAACATTGCACGCTTCACCGTTCAAAACCCAACAAATTGAAGTCATCCACGGGTCCAGGGCGAGGCTCAGAGGTGCTGGCACAGCATAGCGCGGCACCCAGTGACTGGGGCTTCAATCATCCTTCAAGGCAGCAGGTAAGCTTTCCCGTGCCCAGCTGGGGTCTGCGGCCGCTTGCCACTGAAGTGACACCTGAAATGTCGCCGACGTTGCTTGCATCACAGCAGCTCACATGAGATGATGTTTGACGCATTTGTCTCTGCGAGGGCAGGAACACACGTCTTTGGGGAGGGCTTCCAGGCTGCCACCCCCGCGGGCACCTCACCAGCCCAAGCCTCAAAAGCCATCGTCAACGGCATTGGACACTTTAAAAATATTTTGGATCCCCGCCTGGCGTGATCAGCGGCCTAGTGCGTCGGCGGAGGCGGAGCCAGCGCCCGACCGCCTGAAGCGGTCGCGCTCGAGGTGACTGGCTGATGCGGTGGCTATCTGGGTGGCCTTGCATCTTCGCGCGAGACAGTTGCGTGCGCAGTGCATCAAGAGCGGTGCACCCCAAGCTGGGGTGACATGGCCGGGGCGCGCGGGCGCGGTGCAAGTGGATAAGGCACCACTTGCGTTCGCCGCGGCATGGGTCTGGCAACCTTGTCCTGTGCGCCATGGCTACTCTCTGCTCAGATTCCACCCGCTTGGCCGGCTTACACCCCTCACTCACTGAATCCCCAGGGGCGGAGCATCATGAGCGGCCACGCGGACGCTGCACCCCAGCAAGCCAGCGCGTCCATCCCAGCCGCTGGCGCACTCCCAGCTGGTGCCGGCGTCGGCGCCCACCTGCAGCTGCCGCCACCACCGCCGCCGCCCCCGCTTGACCGAGCCGGCGCGCAGTCGGCGCGCCGTGTCACGTTCGACAGCCCCAAAGACATAGATGCGGCCAAAAAGGCCGCGGGCGCGGCGCTCGCGGGCCTGGACCTCGCCACTGCCAAGGTACATCTGGACGCGTCGAAAGCCGCAGTCGACGCCATGCGCGCCAGCGGCGAGCTCCCGGCGCACCCCCCGCGCAGGCCCGCGCGGGAGCTGCGCAGCGCGAGCGCGCGGCAGCTGACGTACAAGGGCGCCGGCGCGGCCGCGCCGCCGCTGCGGCACAACCTGCCGCTTGGGGCGGCGCTGGGCACCCCATTGGGGGCTGACGGCAGCACCGTGCGGCGCGTGTCCGCGTCTGATGAGATGTTTGCTGGGACGGTCGATGGCCCCGGCGGCGCCACGCAGGGGCCTGGCAGCATGCGCCGATTGCCGGGGCGCAGTATCAGCCTGCCGTATGTGATGCACGGCCGCGCTGGCATGCAGGCGCGCCTGACGGCAACACTGGCGCAGGACGCGGCGCTGCAGCAGCGACTACTCACACTGCAGCAGCAGCAGCTGCAGCAGCAGCAGCAGCAGCAAGGCAGCATGCACCGACTGAACCTGGTGACAGTGCAGCACCCGCACATGCAGCAGGTGCAGCAGGTGCAGCACCCGCAAATGCATCAGGTGCAGATGCAGCAGGTGCAGCAAGTGCAGCAGGTGCAGCAGGTGCAGCTGCAGCACGGGCCCCCCTCTTGGGCCGCAGCCGGCCAGGGCGCCGTGTGCGTCGCCCCTGTGGTCCTCAATGGTTCGCTCCTCCCGGCTCTCTCCGTCCCAGAGGGCACAATTCTGCAGTTGGTGGACGGCGTCGTGGAGCCTGTCGCGTGGGCGGCGGCGCCCCAGGACGCCGGGTATCAGGTGTGCAACATGCAGGCGGCGCAGCAGCAGGTGATCGTGCCCGGCGGCGCCGGCGGCTGGGCGCAGCCGCAGCAGGTGCAGCAGGTGCAGGTGGTGCAGCTGCAGGCAGCCCCGCCGCAGCAGCACCAGCAGCACCAATACCACCACCAATTCCATCAGCACCCCATCACCACTGCGGCGGCGGCGCCGGCGGCCTCGTCGGCCACCCCTCTGGTTGCCCTTGACGCCGTGTGGGCCGCCAACGGGCACAGCAACCTCCAAGTGCAGGCGCCCTTGCAGGCCGCCCCGCTGCCCGGCACACAGCAAAACCTCGTACAGCAAACCCCAGGCGATCTGGCGCCGGCGCTGGACGCTTACAGCAGGGCATCCTGGCAGGCCGTCATGCAGGCGCGCGCCGGCGCCGGCGACGCCGGCGGCGCTGCCGCGCTCGCGAGGGCGTCGCAAGAGCTTTCGCTGCTGGCCGCGGCGTGCGGCGCCTTGAGCGCGCTGGCGGCGCCCGACGCCGGGGTCCGCGCTCTGTATGAGATGTCGGTCGTCGCGGCCGCGGCGCAGCAGCGCGCGGCGGCGCACGAGGGGCTGTCCGCGCCGACTGCGCTGGCGGTGCGGCTGCTGGCGGCGCTGGCGGCGCCGCTGTGCTACTCGCGCGGCGCCGCGCAACCGGATGCGGGTGCGCACCGCATGTGCTGGGCTGGGCGTTTCCTGACAGATGCATGCACGGCGCATGCACGGCGAATGCACGGCGCATGCGGGCGCAAGCGCGAGCATGGGGACGCATGCGTACAAGCCCGTGCATCTGTGCTTGTCCCCACACTCCCCGTAAGCTGCTTTCAAGCCCGTCCTCTGGAGCCCACCCTCAACCCCGGCCCTCACCTCAACACACGCAGACCACTTGGAGGCTTGCTTCCTGCTTCTCGGTACCCTGGCCGCCCCCAACCCCGACCTCTCCTCTGAGATCACCGCCGCCCACGCCGCCGCCCGCGCCGCGCCGCCGCCCGCGGGCGCGGGCGCTGGCGCCGGCCCGCTCGAGCGCCAGGCGGCCGCGCGGCAGGCGCTGGCGACACTGTCCGGGCTCGCCGAGCGCAACCAGCAGTTGCTGGCCGCGCGCGCGTCCGGCGGCGTCGTCGCGGCCGACCAGATGGGGCTGGCGGCGGCGCCGGCAG